CACTCCAGGGTTGAAGAACTGCTCTAGTGATTTATTCATCTAATACTAGATGATCCACTTACTCACTGATAAGGGCCAACCAGAGTCGGATATTAAAAATAGGAGGGACCCAATTGTACTCTTAAGGCCAGGCAGATTGGTCTGCAGGTCATCAAGAAATGAAGCAGAAACCACCAGCTGTAATTTCTTTCTGAGGCCCTCCAGAAAACTATGACCAAAATGAAACAAGTGACTATAAACTGTCTACTTTCCTTGTGTACTATGCTATACAAAGTAGAAATCAACAATGGAAATGGGAGAAATCACAGTAATGAAAGTTTGCCAAAAAACCCACCATGGGTCTACAGAAACCATCATGGCACTGGCCAGTTTTACCATCTGCTCGAAGCCTTTTAATCAAGCTTGCTGTGACCTGGCTGTAATGGTACCTTTTTCTGTTGGTGATCTATCATGACATTGTGAGGTTTCACATCCCTGTGCATGATTCCCTTGCTGTGGCAGTAATCCAGAGCCTATTAGGTAAGAAAGCACAGAGAAAAGTAAGCAAACCCTCTATCATCCCCCAATGCAACCACAGTCTTATTGTGACACCTTGACTTGAATACAGTCCCTCAAGGGGCAGCTTGCTGCCTGTAATGAAAAGAGAAAAAAGCGTGCTTCAGAAGGCACCCCTTTCTCTCTGTGCACACTACAGCTGGTAGAAAGGAGTTATGAAGAGAATGGCAAGGGCTACGAGATGAGGCCAGGCACAGTGACTCATGCCTGTAATCACAGCACTTTGGGAGGCTGAGGCGGGTGGATCACTTGAGGTCAGGACTTTGAGACTAGCCTTGGGTAACATGGCTCTACTAAAAATACATGCCAGGCGTGGTGGTGCGGGCCTATAATCCCAGCTACTGAGGTGGCTGAGGCAGAATTGCTTGAATGTGGGAGGCGGAGGCTGCAATGAGGCAAGATAGCACCACTGCACTCCAGCCTAGGGAAAAAAGGCCAGAGGGGAATGGGGGGTTGGGGAGAGATGATAAACCAGACTTGGGAACCTCACTGGAATCACCTCTCACAGTGGTTCAAGGGACAGACCAGCATCTATGTGGACATGAATAATCTTTCAACATGGCTTATCTTGCATACAAGTGTCCCACTTGGGTTTTCTAGATGACCAAACGTTAGAATTTTCCTTAAATATATTTAAGGAAATATATTTTAGCCAGCTGGCCTTTAAGAATTATCATCACGCCAGGCATGGTGGCTCACGTCTGTAATCCCAGCACTTTGGAAGGCTGAGGCAGGCAGCTCACTTCAGGTCAGGAGACCAGACCAGACTGGCCAGCATGGCGAAACCCAGTCTCTACTCAAAGTACAAAAAATTTAGTTAGGCGAGGTGGCAGGCACCTGTAGTCCCAGCTACTTGTGGGACTGAGGCACGAGAACTGCTTGAACCAGGGAGGTGGAGGTTATAGTGAGCCGAGATGGCACCATTGCACTCCAGCCTAGGCAACAGAGTGAGACTCTGTCTAAAAAAAAAAGAAAAGAAAAAGAATTTACATTATTTCTCTAAGGGAGAAAACTGCTTTGTATAAGACGACTGATATATAGGTAAGATTTGAAGTATATAATGGTTTTTCATAAATTTAAAGAGTTGTGCAACCATTACCACAATCCAATTTAGGAAATCACTCCTAAAATTTCTCTTGAGCCTGTCTGTGGTCAGTCTCCTCTCCTAACTACTCCCAACCCCCTCCATGCCCTGCTCCCAACCACTGACCTGCTATTTGCTGGTATAGGTTTGCCTTTTCTGGACATTCATAAATGAAATCATACATGTATGGTGCTTTGTCTGCTTTCTTTCATTCAGCATACTGTTTCTGAGATTCATCCAAGTTGTTTTCCTTGCTGAGTAGTATGCTACTACTAGTTGATGGACATTTGGGTTGTTTCCACTCATGCTTTCATTTCCCCTAGGTTCCTAGGGGTGGAAGTGCTGGGTTGTATGCCAAGTTCAACCTTTTTTTTTTTAAGACCAAGTTTTCACTCTTGAATGCAATGGCACAACCTTGGCTCACCACATCTGCCTCCCAGGTTCAAGCGATTCTCCTGTCTCAGCCTCCCAAGTAGCTGGGATTACAGGCATGCTCCACCATGCCCAGCTAATTTTGTATTTTTAGTAGAGACAGGGTTTCTCCATGTTAATCAGGCTGGTCTCGAACCCCCGACCTCAGGTGATCCACCCACCTTGGCCTCCTAAAGTGCTGGGATTACAGGTGTGAGCCACCACGCCCGGCCTAGGCCTAGGTTTAACTTTTTAAGAAACTGCCTAATGTACTTCCAAAGTGACTGCATCACTTTTACTCCCACCAGCAATCTGACAGGTGTTGACAAGAATATGGAAAAATTAAACCCTCAGGTTGCTGGAGGAGTACGCAAGCCAGGGAATGAGTCTTAGGATTAGCATTCCAGGAATAAGCTCCCCCAATCTGTGCCTTTCCCTAAACTGAAAGAGTACAATACAATATATAATGCTTGTTTTTTGAAGATCAAGAATAGGCCCTACTAAACTATGGGGATAGAGATAAGAATATAATCTTTAGAGGAGGAGACACTAAAGAGAAGAACACAAGAGAGCCCTGCAGGCTGGTACAAAATTCTCTACCAGTCCTGTGCAACGGGACTTTCTGCAACAACAGAAATATTCTATTCCTGCACTGTATGATATGGCAGCCACTAGCCAAATGAGGCCACTGAGCACCTGAAATGTCTGGTTTGACGAGGGAACTAAATTTTATTACTTTATTTTAGTTTTTTGGACAGGGCCTTGCTCTGCCGTCCAGGCTACAGTGTAGTGGCACAATCTCAGCTCACTGCAACCTCTCCCTCACAGGCTCAAGTGGATCCTCCTACCTCCTGAGTAGCTGGGACCATAGGCATGCACCACACCTGGCTAATTTTTACATATATATTTTTTGTAGAGACGGGGCTTCACCATGTTTCCCAGGCTGGTCTCGAACTCATGAGCTCAAGCAATCCACCTGCCTTGGCCTCCCTTAGTGCTGGGATTTATAGGCGTGAGCCACCGAGTCCAGCCAGGAACTAAATTTTAAATTTTACTTAATTGAAATAGCTACCTATAGGCAGTGGCTACTAACTATACTGGATAGCATCATCCTGCGTATATCTGTGTGAGAGTTTTACATACACAAACATCCAAAAGACTGTACATTTAAGATTTACTTACTTCACTTACATTCTACTTCAGTTTTTTTTCCCTCTGTTTTCCAAAGTGCCTTTGTGGCAGTGCTTTATGAAACCAGGGGTCCTGAGGGCAGACCTCCCTGAATCTGAATCAGATCAGGTAGCACAACAAAGCCTCAGTGAGTCACTGAGTCATCACACTGCAGCTCTCAGCCTCAGTTGCTTCTGCATTTTCAAAGGAGTTAAATATTTAATCTTCTCCACTCCTATTTTTTATTTTCAAAGAGAAAATTTACCAAGTGTGGATTCTGCTATATTTGCCCACTCTTTGTCTAAAGGAATAAAATAATCAAGACCACAATACCTGAGATGTGAAAAACACTCGATGAAAGCAAAGGCTGAACAAATACAGTAAGGTAATTAATTCTTTTGCCAAGTTTCCTAGTCGGACTCCCTGTAGAGTTACTGACATGCTTTGAAATTCTTTGGGGAATTATTTCAGTTTTAAAATCTGGTACAGTTTCTGACCATTAAGCATGAAAGACGTTTTTCAAGTTTCATATGGGATTCTATGTTTCATTAGCAAAAATAAGTATATGCCTTTACTGCCTAGCTGCTACCTCCAGAAAGCAGAAGGGACATCAGACATTGAATGACACCTGCATGTCCACCTGGGAAGACCTCCATTAGTTGGATGTCTTTATGGGACCTAAGAGCAGGGTAGCTTATTCAACTTTAGGTTTGGCTGATGGTTTAATAACACAAAATCTCAATACTACTTTACTTAAAAATAACCAACTGTGAGATTTGAATTGTAGCTCTCATGAGGTGAGAGTGCATGATTACTCAGGAAGCACCTCCAGGAAAGGAGCTAGCCTGACAGTTCATAGGAACATGGCACTGTAAATTTCACCCACATCAGTGCTTCAATTCTAGTCTGGAGAAGATAAGGAGAAAGGTGGGATAAATCAAGCTCAACCTCCGTGTCTTGCTGATCTTAATGACAAAAAGGAAGACCCACTAGTCATAAGAGTGAACCCTTCAATCTACCACCTTAGCTTTCTCTAATGATAAGTGGTTCGTACAAGTTCTTATAAAAACACATTCATTTCACAGAACTAGTTCTTCAAATTCCCATTCCCTAAAGCCCAACCTTGATTCAACTTGGTAATTAGTTCACAATCCCATCAAAACTCCTTCTTGGCCATTTTCTTCAGTAACGCCAGTACCTTAAATCATCTCATTTTAGAGGTTCTTAAGATCTACAACTACCCTAAAACTTTTCGCAAGACTGCATATTAAAACATACATTTTTGGAGGGAGTTCATAGTTTTCATTAGGTTCTTAGTGATCTGTAACACAAAAATCTAGGACCCATGGATGTATTCCGTTTTACAAACTGAGAATTCTGTAAGTGTTTATCTAGGCAAACTAAAAGTGATCATTCCTCCACCAACCATTAATTCTTCAAAATTTCACTGTTCTTGGGATTAGTAAGTCTTAGATATTCTACCCATCACTGCATTAACAAGCCCGGGCTCCAGGGGTAGGGTAGGAAGACTCATCCAAGAAGGGGATGACGACACATGGCAAGGAAAGATGGCTGCAAATGCCTGCCACCCCTGTAGGCATGTCCCTCTATAATATGACTTCAATGCTTTTTCTATCAAGAAGTGGAGTCAGTTTTTTCACACCCTGAAGCTAAGGTTGGTCATGTGATTTGCTTTGGCCAAGAGGGTATTAGCAAATATGACACAGGTAGAGGGTTGAAAAGTACCTATACATTGAGGTTTCCCCTTCTCTGCTGCTAGGAACCCCAGGAAGACCACCATGGGAAGCAGCAGGAGCATCATGGGCTGGAAGATGAGACCTCAGCTATCCCCGCTGTCCCAGCTGTGGTCTAGACTGTCAGTGAAGCCACCTTGCCCCAGTCAGGACAACTAAGACCTAAAGAATCATCGGGCTAACTCACAGAATTATAAGAAACAATAATCATTTTTTAAAAATCATTAAGTTTGGGGGCGATTTGTTATATTCACAGTAAGTATTAATAAAACAGCAAAGAGAAAACTCATGGACCAACAAGAGCTGTGGGAGGTTCTAAGGTATAGCGTCCCTGGTACCTTGACTTGGCCATTTTTTTCTCAGTTTCACTGGAAAGTTTCTACGTGAAGATTCCTCGATGGAAGCCTCAATATAACTTTTAAAACTTCACTAAATCCTCTGGATGTCAAGAAACATTCTGCTTGAGTTCTCTTTGCTCTCTCAAAAACTTATCTTTTAATGAACAAGCCTGAAAAAATTCACGGTTTATGAATGCCACTTACTTTAAGTAGTTCATACATATAAAACCGGATATCAAAGTCTGTCAGGATCTGGTAGAGTTGCTGAAACAGATTCCAAAAAACAGAAAGTTAATTTAGTCTCATTGCATCTTGTCATCCCAAGTGCGGGCCATTCTCTAAGCTTACTTGATACTTAAGTGACTAAGGAATCCCATGACTTTTTTACTCCGTGATCTGAAATAAATGGGAGCAAAGTCTAAAGATGAAGGTGTAATATTTCAATCATAGAATAGAAGAAAAAAAAAGGAAGGAATTCCAAGGGAGAAAAACCATTTAAGTCAACTCAGATCTTTCCTATTTAATGCTCTGTGATTTTTGCCAATTACAATCATTAACCACAATTACACCATGTGAAGTCTAAGTTGTCTGTCTTCACATTCTTACTGTAAAGAAATCTAGGCCGGTCGCGGTGGCTCAAGCCTGTAATCCCAGCACTTTGGGAGGCCGAGGCAGGTGGATCACGAGGTCAAGAGATCGAGACCATCCTGGTCAACATGGTGAAACCCCGTCTCTACTAAAAATACAAAAAATTAGCTGGGCATGGTGGCGCCTGCCTGTAATCCCAGCTACTCAGGAGGCTGAGGCAGGAGAATTGGTTGAACCCAGGAGGCGGAGGTTGCGGTGACCCGAGATCATGCCATTGTACTCCAGCCTGGGTAACAAGAGCGAAACTCCGTCTCAAAAAAAAAAAAAGAAAAAAAAGAAATGTAACCCCACTGCAGCACCACAGTATACTCTAGAAAAGTGGGTTCTGAGTGGATAGATCTCTGAAGAACTTCACAGGCTACTGTGGTAAAATAGTGGCAAGATAGGCTGTTCTGAAAAGACATGAGGAAAAAGGAGGTGCTGCAGCATTTGCAGATGGCAAGAGCTTACAAAAAATCTATAAACCAACTCCAGGCTGGAGAAAAAGAACATTTCACAGGCAACAACTGATGGCTTAGGAGTGAAAAAGAGGGTATCAAAAAATGATCACCGGCCAAACTAATAAACAATGAAATGTTTTCATTATTGATAATCCAAAGACGCACTCACTGGGAGTTTAAAAAAAAATTCTAAGGGTAAGAATACATTAATGCTATAAGCTTCATTTAAAGCATCATAAACCCTTGTCAGAAACTCTCATCTTTGATATAGATCAAATCCAAGTAAATCTCGTTTCCCATAAATCCAAGCCCCACACTTTCCATAAAATTAAGACACACGCCTTTATTAAACTTCTCTCGTTCTTCCATTAGAAGAGAGACTCAAGCAATGTAGGGAATTTCTCCAGGGAACACAGAACAGTGTATACAATGTATCTGTGTAATAGGGGGAAAATAAAAATATACATCCACATTTTCTGTATCTGCAAAAATGATATAGAATAAAAACTGGTTTCATGTGTATGTGTAGAGGAATATGCAGCTGGAATACAGGGTTTTTCACTGTCTAACATTTTATATTTTTGATTCACATATAATGTTCAAAAAATTTTAATAAAAACATCAAATTTGCCGAGAACCAAATTTAACATTTTCTAAGAATACCGGGTCTTTGCTTTCTCAAGTTTCCCCCTTTCAGTAATTCCCCCTTCCAGCTTAGGAAAAAATTTTATTTCATCAACCTCAGGGCAGCACAGGGAATGAAATACACAGGCCAGTACACAGCGTTGTGGAGTGGGGAGCTGGCCCTGGCTGCAGCTGAACTCCACTTAGGCAAAACAGCACCAACAAGCCACTACTTCTGCTCAGGAGATCTTCAGCTCCATAACACATAGGCAAGTTTTTTGTTCTCTCCCAGATCTACTTTGGCTGCACATTGACAGCTTGAATGTACAGACAGAGGCTTAAGATGCCATCTCTGGGGTGTCAAAGCAGCTCCTCCTCTGTGGGTTAAGGAAATCATTCACAGAGACTATGCTAAATTGGACTTCAAGTCAATAAATACCCTATGAAAGAGAAAAGATCAAATTTTCTAACCCTTAGAGGGCTGGAGCATTTTATTTCCAAAAAGTTAACATGGGCTATTTTATTAGACTTTTATCTGTAGAAGGCTTTCCTCATCATATGGTACCTACACCATGTATTTGTATAAATGGGTAAGCCATAAAATAAATGTCTTTGGACTGCCAACACAGTATTTCTAGCTACTGCAACTATTAACAATTTAATTCAAGACACCAGTTGTATACCAGTATTTAGGCCTAAGATATCACAAAGTCCCTAGTGACTGGCTGCCTTTCTCCCTCACTTCTCAGGATCTCTGGGTAGGAGAAGACCAACCTACATCTGCAACATTTAACTGCCAGGGCCTAAAATCCAAGACTATGCAGGGTCCACAGTCTGGCTTCCTCTGACTTTTGTAAGCTCTGTTCTTCACTGCACCCCCCAGGAGTCCCTGTTTTGTTAGGAGTCCTCTGGCAAAAGAAGCCCATGTTTGCTGCCTCCATTTTCTCCCCTCTAGCCCTGCTCCACCTTAGCCTGGAAAGCCAAACCCAACCTGTCTGCTTTCTACAGAGCTGACAATGATAGCTTCCTTCTCTCTCTCCATGCCACTGACTCTCCAACATGGCTGTGCACAGGACACCATTAAGAACACAGCATCAGCATTTTGGGAGGCCGAGGCGGGTGGATCACGAGGTCAACAGATCAAGACCATCCTGGTCAACATGGTGAAACCCCGTCTCTACTAAAATTTACAAAAAATTAGCTGGGCACGGTGGCATGTGCCTGTAATCACAGCTACTCAGGAGGCTGAGGCAGGAGAATTGCCTGAACCCAGGGGGCGGAGGTTGCGGTGAGCCGAGATCGCGCCATTGCACTCCAGTCTGGGTAACAAGAGCGAAACTCTGTCTCAAAAAAAAAAGAACACAGCGTCCCCAGAGTTAACCTTCCTCACACAGGGACTGGTGGTGACCTCAGGTTCTCAAGGTGATTCCTCACTCTGCTGTGTGCTTTGTCCAGACCCCCAGGAATCCCATGCCAACATTCCCTGTGCTTCATGGCATACGCATATGATCGGGAGAAATGGGTAGAGTGGATGGTGGCAGAGTCATCAAATTTGGTGATAAAAGATCTCTGAACTCCCCCCACTACCCAAGTATGCCAACGGCCCACTTAACAACTCACTCAATACCATTCCCACTTCCCACACTCAACTCCAACCATATACTAAGTCCTCACACAGCAGAAGAGCAGGTGCTCCATATACTAAACACCATGTATGGCAGCTCTGTCTTGCATACATGTTTTTACAATGTTCATAGTCAGTGGAACAAAAACAGAAGCAATTTTCCAAGAAACAGAAGTATCAAGAGTCCAAGACACATTAGAAAGAGAAATGTCACAAGAACCACACTTTCCCGCCCTTCTCCATAGTCAGCTATGGAGAGAACATTATTAAAAACTCCGCTGCAAAATGCTGGCAGGAAGTCAGCTTTGCTTACATTTTCAAAAAATAAGTGACTTAAAAGGTGGAAATTTCCTGGGCCTTTTAATTAGCTCCAAAAAGTCTAAGGAAAAGAATGGCAGAAATTGTACTTTGATCATCAGATTCAGGGCCCCCATGGTCTAAAACCACAGACACCAACAATGGCATGACCACATGTGGGCCTTGCTGCTACCGTAGGCATATGAACAACTGTTCAGACTCCAGGTGAGATTCAGCTCCATCACCATGAGCCACAGATTCAAAGACCCCATTCCCAACCATGACCTTCAGGAAGATTCACACTTTATGAGAAAGCTTCCCAGGTAGCTCTGGTTAGTCCATGCCCATAAATCCCTGTGGTCATATGTAGAGAGAAGAAAAAGTAGTGGGATATATAAAGTCAAAGCGAAAAAGGTGTTTACTATACTAGTCACCGGTTTAAGAATTGTTTACAAGTAACCCCCAAGATCCAGAATAAAACCAAGGTCAACATTTTTAGAAATTTAAGGAAGTAGAATAAATCTTTAATCAAGCAGATCAAAGTTATTACAAATCATCTGAAAATGTGACTTATTTTCCTATAAGGAAATAACAAAATGTCAACAACCTGTAATAACATACATGACATGACAAAGTAGTACAATTTGTTTCCCCAATTAAGGAAATTGTATTTAGTCTGTGAACTCAGGCCTCACATCATCTACTAAGTGGTGATTTACCTGTATGTGAGTAATTTAGAAATTCCCCAAATATCAATGTGATTCTACCAGCTTCTTGGGATGGAGCCCTTTTGGAGTATCTTAACAAAATCTTTTTTTTGTATTTCAAAATAGTGCCTTAGCTTCCCTTGAGACACTTTCTTTTTTTTTTTTAAATTGAGACAGAGTCTTGCAGTGAACCGAGATCAGGTGACTGTACTCCAGCCCGGGTGACAGAGCAAGACTCTGTCTCCCAAGGGAAAAGAGAGAGAGAGAGAGAGAGAGAGAGAGAGAGAGAGAGAGAGAGAGAGAGAGAGAGAGAGAGAGAGAGAGAGAAAGAGGGTTAGGGCACAGGGAGAGAAATAACTGCAAATGTGGCAAAACAGTAACAACTGGTAAATCTAGGTGAAGGTTACAAGGGTACTGATCTTGCTACTCTTTCCACTTTTCAAAGTTAAAAGTCTGGGGAGAAAAATGCAAATTCACAATGTTGCAGTTTGGACTTCCAGTTTGAAAACTATCCAGAAGTGAGTTCTACAACCAGCGATGCAGGTAAAACAGCGCTTAGGGTTGTACAAACTTAAGCACATGTATTGTCAACAAAAACAAAAACAAGTTTAATTCAACTAAAGAAATGAAGAAGAAAACCACTGAGAGTCCAACAAGGTTGAAGGAAGAAAGAAGAAAAATAAGATAGGAGCAGAAAGAAAACAACTAACAAAAATAACCGCTGAGCAATAAAATAAAAAAGCTGGTTCTTTTAAAGGATTAATAAGAGATCTCTAGAAAGACTGATTTAAAAAGAAAAAGAGTAAAGGCACACACACTGTTTAAAAATGTGAAGGAAAGGATAACTACAGATACGCCAGAGTTTTTTTTTTTTTTTTTTTAGGTGACCAGTCAACAGCATAGTTTTTAAGTTCTAAGAGAATTATTATGTCAATCAAATTGAAAGTGAATAAAATACATATTATCCAAATAGACTCACGAAGAGATAGAAAACCTGGATAAACCCTTAACCTATAAAATGCTTTAAAACGGAAAGTTCAAAGTCTTCCTCCCACCCTTGAAAGACATCTACCCAGATAATACCTATCTTACATAAACTTTCAGAGAATAGGAAGAGGAAAAGCTACTCGATCTATCTTACATCAAATATAACCTTGATACCAAATTTAGAAGGACCCTATGATAAAATAAAATCAGAGATAAAAATTTATAATCCATTTCACCAATATAAAATACGGAAAAGAATGGGCTGTGGGCTGCATCACTGTTAATTCACCCTGATATTAAGCCAGGGACAAACACTCTCTGGGTGATAACCTTAAAACCAGTTATTAATAGACTTTACACTAAAATGAAAAAGGCAAAAAATAAAAACAAATTTTCCTAGTAAGATGGACAGAGGATAAAATAAAAAGACTAAAGGACCTCAGGACATTGAACTAAATAATTCTCTGTTTGTGGCCTGCCATACTTATCTGGAAAAGAATATAATTTTCTTGCCATGATTTGCTCTTCAAAAATACATATCTGCCATCAATTTAAATATCAATTTAATGATCTCTTAAGATGACTAAAATATCATGCCTTGAACATTCAAAGGGGACCTCTAGTTAAACATGGCAGATCAAACACCTCTGCTCAACCTGAAACTCCTCTAAAATATCAGTAAAAGGGGCAGGGAGATTAAATCATAAGAACCAAGAAGACAGGAGAAACAACATTGTGAAGCTAGAAAACGTGTCTCTCCCAACAGTGAAAGGGGCCAGAAGCAAACAGCTTCAAACCGAACGTCAGAAAGGCTCAGGACTGGGGACCCCCAATGTTGGTCTAAAAGAGTGAACAGAGTGCAGTAGAAACAGAAAAATGGGTTTAAGACGCCACATTGAAAACTGGAGAATTAGGTGAAGTCTGCACCACACTCCCCACGGTTCTCAACTTGAGGCTAAGATACCAGCAGCTAAGTTTGCATCCTTGAGACAGGGGCAGCTGATGGCTCTTTAGAGCAAGGAGCAGACATTCAAGAAACACCCAGAGTCAAATAACAAAAACTCACACACAAAGAAAGAGGAAAAAGTATGAAGGGGAAAAATACAATATTCTTAGTGAGAAAATAGAAGGTATTACATAAAACATAAAAGAACAGGATACTATTTTAAAAAGTTCTGAGACCAAAATGGAGCTGTAAGATGTGAAGTCTAACATTTGAATGAGTTCTGGAAAGTGAGAACAAAGAAGAAAGGGGAGAAAAATCAAAGAACATTAAAAATATTTTTCCAAAACAGAGGGGGAAAAAGCCCAGCAAGTATGCAGAACAAAAGATAAAAGAGACCCATATGAAGGCTCGTCATTGTGAAATTTCAGAAGACTGGAAATGAGAAAATCCTAAAAGC